ACCGGTTGCAATTGCTCACCGGCAAATGTCCGTACACAAATCCACACCCAATTGACTTCTTTTCTGTATTTTCACCCCGATTAATTTTATGGGATTGTTTATCAATTTTTATGACATTTTCATAACAGCACCAAGATACTCAACCATTAACTAGCACTTGTAAAATGGTTGCGTCTTTTTTTTTCTCTTTGCGCTAATTGAGATTGGATGAGCTGTAAAAATGGGAAGATAAAAAGAATGACATTGGTAATCCCGAACTTTTCCGTACCGTTGGCCTGCGTTGTCCGTAGGTACTTTTGGTTATTTTTTGTGAATTTTCTTGAAATAAAGGCAGTGAAAATATAGTAATGAAAATAAAGTGAAAAATCGGTCACTTTAACTAAAACTTCGACAATTTTGTATGAGAGGTACCCGTAAACCGATTCCTATTGGCTTCAAACTTTCTAAGGTTTCATTTTTTGGAGAAAAAATAAGATTCTGAAAGTTTCATGTTGATCGCATTTGCAGAAGTTTGTATTTTGGCCCTCAATTTTTCCCAAGAAAATGTCGACAAAAATTGAGGACAAAAAATCAAACTTCTGCAAATGGGATCAACATGAAACTTTCAGAATCTTATTTTTTCTCCAAAGAATGAAACCTCAGAAAGTTTGAGACCAATCAGAATCGATTAACGGGTACCTCCCATACAAAATTGTCCAAAAATCGGTAATTTTAGTCAAAATTTCAAAAATTTTGTATGGGAGGTACCCGTAAATCGATTCCGATTGATTTCAAAATTTCAGAATCTTAATTTTATTCCAAAAAATAAAATCCCAGAACGTTTGAAGCCAATCGGAGTCGATTTACAGGTTCCACCCATACAAAAGTGTCAATTTTTTTAGGTCTTTCTTAGGGCAAGTACCCCAGGGTCAAATCGAAAATGGCTCATATTCGAACTTAAACTAAGTTTATTGGATACAAAACTTTTGGGACTTTCAGATTTGGATTATCTCAATTATTTTTTGAGTTATCGTGTTAACAAACAGCTACGACAACGACAACGACGGCACACGAACGGAAAAGTGTCTCAAAAAGTGGTTTTTTACGCGTTTCATGAGTTTTTATGATGATCTAAGCTGATTTTGCGAAAAAAAAAGTTTTCGGGACCAATTCCTATACTTTCCCTTGACACGTTGTGTACGGAAAAGTAAAACGAGTTTGTTTGAGAAAGACATAAAAACAGGAAACAACGATTACTCAAACTATATTGCTAATGAAACGAAATGAAGGCGAAACGTATTTCGTCGCATTTATTGGCCAACAGTAGTGAGTTTACGGTGGAAAAGTATCGATTGCGGTTTGATGCCATCAAAACGGCATTTCTGTACGATTTTTGATCAAGTGCATAGCTGTTGCTGGTGGTGGTGGTGGTGCTGCAATTTCAATTTGCCACAACCTTGATATAGCCTTATCAACCCAACCAAAACACGCACCATCGATTTTCATCGAGATTGTTGGAAATGTAATTGAATTTTAGCACTCATAAATGAAACAAGTTAAATTTCAAGTTTTCATCATTTCATAAATTCCATTTCGGCATCGATGCGCGGAGTGCGCTAGCATACATCCACTTTGTGTGCGAAAAAATAGTTTTGCGGCCACTGCGATATAGTGCTGCGTGCTCAGTACATCGACGCAAAAGGTCGCAATGATAATGTTGAAACAATGTTATAAATTCAGGAATACAATGTATTTTATTGCTACAAGAAGAAAAAACCCAGCAGCTCTCCATTTAAAAATGGAGGTTATTGGTATGGGATTACATGCATGCGGATTTATGCGAATGCAGCTCCAGCAAACCATTTTGTCTGCATACAAATGACGGTGATTTTGTTTCTATTTTTTTTTCCTCTCTTGCTTCCTCTCTTTCTCTCGTGTACACTTTTACATTGTTTTTGCCGTCACTGCTGCTGCTTCTTTTTTTGTTGTTGAAAAAATACATCGAGAAATGATATAAATCAAAAATGTTCAGGCTCATTCTTGTGAGATATCATTTTGGAATTGGAATCGAAATCGGTATGCAGTGTTGTTGTATACTCATAAATCTTGTCGAAAATGTGATTGTGCATTAAATGCTGAATGTATGTGTGTGTGTTTGTGTTTTTTCTCTCTCTATTTTTTCATTCACCAGCTTTGCTGCGGCAGGCGATTTCAAAAAGGAATATGAGGAGTGTAAAAATCAACGGTATACAAAAATGTAGTAATAAAATGCAAAGTGAAGCGAATATGTTGCTATTGAAGAAAATGCATTGTGCCACACAGAGTAGGGAGAAGAGAGAGAGAGAGAGAGAGTAACATATACGAACGCCAACGCACCTCGACCGATTTCAATGCAGTCAAGGAGAAAATCAACTTGAATCGGGGATAAAGTGAGCCCAAAACATTCAGCATATAATAATAAAATTATGTGGTTCGTTTCATAGGTTCTCGTTTGTGCAGCCGTTACTGCTGCTGTCGTTCGCGTCGTTATGTGCTTCACTATTGAGTCGAATACCGGATTGATGACGGGTGAGCAACGGTGGTAAAAAGTCGTTTCTTTCACAATTCCCTGCCGTCATATTTTACTTTGTGCGTAATCCAGTTAGTTTGATTTTCAACTTTCCGTGTGTACCGTTTCTCGTTTTTTTTTCGTTGGCGTTTCAAGTTTGTTGATTCTCTTCTTTTTCGACTTATTCGCTTGAGTTAGTTGCTTTTTATGTGAGTTTTTTCTGTATTGAGTATATGTCCTGTATTGAGAAATCATTTCCGCAACTAAAATTTATGCCCAGCAGAAGAAAAACAGCCAACGAATGGGAGAAACTACCGTTCATTCGCATTTTCATGTGGCGTATGTGATTCCACGTTATGTTATGAAAGCATGAAAAATTAGTCAAAATGTAACAAAAGCCGTACACCAATCAGGGGGTGACAAGCAAGAAATATGAACTTTTACGACATAAAAACGGTCATATTTTGCCATATAACTTGTTGTTGACAAATTAAGTCCGTTCGATTTTTTGGTCGATGTTAATTCATTAAAAAACGGCGAGTTGAAATGCCGCCCTCTCTCTCTCTATTGCTTACTTGGTCATTCGTTCACCACCCGATATAAGCCACTGATTTACGGAAAATGCAAACGTTGAATCGGTAGTTTTTATGGTGTTTGTTTAGTTTATATACACTTTTTGTGTTCTGCTTTTAGTGGCGATATGTGTGTCGAATCCGGATTTAATGAGTGGGCAAGGAGAATCGGGATATGGAATATCCACATATACGTGAATGAAATGCAGTGCGGAGCTGCTAGGACATCGGCGTTTCCAGTGCAGTCAAAGATAGTTGAGCAATACGAGAGAGAAAGAGAGAGAGAGAGAGAGAGAGAGAGAAAGAGAGAGAGAGAGAGAGAAAGAGAGAGAGAGAGAGGGAGAGAGCGAAAACGAGAGCGAGAGAAGGAGATTTGTAAATATCTATGTGGTGCATTGTATTATTAGCTTAAACATGATGGCGTACAGATAAAGTTAAGACCCGCATCTGACATGTTTAATGCAAGCCTGAAGGAATAACTCGGCTACAGACGCAGCACTGTATACCGTTGTCCTGTTCAAAAGAACTAAACACTAATACACATGCAAGCGTACACATTGAAAATGCAATCTGCGACAAACGTGAAAGCATAATGAAAATGCTTATGCGAAGCAAAACATAAACACTCACACAACGGCACAAGAGAAAGAGCTTTTTCGCTCGCTATTGAATCAACGTCTGCAACGTGTTTTGGTATTAAAAATGTTTGAGGGTATTAGGTTTTTGATAAATCCCGGTGTGACGCATAGATTTAACTTAGTTCCGTTCGTTGAGACAGTTAAGAGAGCGACAAAAATGAAAAAAAATCATCATCAGCAGCAGCAGCAATAGAAGCAACAACAGCAAGAAACAACACTCTGATCTTGCTCTTTCGGAAAATGTGTGACACGTTTCGTGCGCTTAAAATATGCTTAAAATAAAGTACAACCACCCTCGCACTCTCAGCCGATTTACCCGATAGAATAATATTGAGCAAGCATATTTCACAGTGCGCATTTTACCGGGTCGAATTCCGAGTGTGGGAGAGAGGGTTTGCATATGCATGAGAGTATTGTTGGGAAAATTACGTGATTGTGTCTGTATGTGGTTTTACCACTTATATACTCCGAAATATTGTAGCGGTCGCGCCTGAACTGCATCATCATGAACCAAGCTAAACCGTTAACAACATTCGTATTTCTTCGCGTTTTCGAGACATTGCAAAATTTTTGGTGTTGGCGCGATTTTTTTTTTCTTCATGCGGTTAGCCCTTGTTATCGTCGATGGGTATGGAAATAGTTTTCTTTGTGTGCGATTAGGTTTTTGCTAGTGATGTGTGTGAGTATCGGTTGTTATTTTGTCATTTTGTGGTATCTAATCGGTTCTTATGTGTTGTGTGTGTACAGTGTACACTGTACGTCTTGAAATTGTTGCCGAAGAGACGCTGCTCTTGCAAAAATTTAATTAAGAAAAAAAAAAAACGTACGAATTGAAAGAACTCAACACAACAAAACTACGCTCTCAACCGCATAAATAGACACAGAGAGAAAGAGAAAATGAGAGACGATGCATTTTCTCATTAGGGAATTTGCTGTGTCATTCACAGCGACACAATACACCCGAATTTGTACCACCATAAAAATATGCATAGATCTGGAAAAACTCCCTTTTTTCGTGTATGTGCGTATTTTTTTCTTTCTCAAATTTCATTCCATTTTCTCGGGAGAGAGTTGTTTTTGTAGTGGATCATAATGAACGGACTGCACATTCATTTTCAAGAGTATGAAAATCTAGTTGATTACATTTCCATTATGTTTTTGATGTTAGAAAAGACCTTGAGGGACTTTCGATATGACATTCATGTGCCAAGCAATTCGAATATATGTATATATATAATGAATGCTTCTATGGGGAAATCTTACCTTCGGGGTGTAAAATGAAATCAATGTCGATTCGGTGTTTTTTTGTTGATAAATTATTGTCTTTTTTTAACCAACACAATTTATTTCAATCTCTTTCACTATTTATTACTCGAAGAATTCAGCTTTTTTTCGTTCTCTCTTTTTTCAAACCAATTTTAATCGGCAGTAAAATATTCTTTTGGAGGCTTTATTTTTATTCACCGTTATCAACTTCTGAATTATCACTCCACTTTCACTGATTCAGCACCTGCGAATGAAAAAGAAGAAGAAAACCACTTTATTATTGAACAATTGAAAAAGAAAAACATTTACTATCGATATCCATCTATTCTATATTAGAATTTTCAGTTGCATCTTTTGCTTGTTTTGCTTCTCTCTCTTCCTCTACCAAATAAGATCTTGTTGTCGTTATTAAGAGCGAATTTATAGGTATTTTCATAGCATCGATAATGAAGTGATGTGCAATTCGCAGCAAAAGAAACGGAATTGCAACAGAACGATGCAATAAGGTTCAGTGATATCTTCATAAAAAGTTTTTATTGTGGCCATTTTGTGCAAATGTGGAAAAATTAACAAATGAAGAAATTTTCGAAGCGAATTCAATTAAAATGGAAATAGAAATGGAGATAAAACGGCGGTGGTAAACTAACAGATGAAAATAACGATAACATTTATGTGTACAAGCCGATCGATCGACATGGGAATGAGCTGTATGTGTGTGAGTGTGTGTGCTTGCTTGCTTTCGATACGAAAATATTGGATGCTGCTCATTTGCATTTCGCAAAAGTTGTGCTGTTGCTGTTAGTTTTTTTTTTTCTTTCTGCTGCTGTTGCTGCTACTTCGTTTGATTCGCCGGTTTGAGTATTATTTTATGGTTGAGCGTATCACCATTCGCACACAGTGTGCCAGATTATAATCCATAAAATTATATGAAACAGAATCGGGATAAAAAAAAAGTGATATCTTCTCTCGTTTGAACGGAGTGTATGTATGTGCCTTTTTTGTATCTTGGCGTTTTTCCTCTCCATTTCGGTTGTGTAGAGCTGTGGTAATTTGCTTCTAACAACGACATTAGAACATTTTGCACGTGTATAGTTTCATCGGTTTGGTATGCAATTTGCATTGGCCGACCGAGGGCCTCCTTTACTCCCAATACAATCGGTTTTTGCCCATTTTCCCTGCTTTCGAAACCAATTAACATACACACTCACACTCGCAGAACTTTTATATGCTAATGAAGCGCAAACAAAACCAAACAAAAACAACTAACTACGACTTTCCAATGAGCGCAAAAACCGTCATTTTATTCTCCCCACACTTTGTTGCTGTTGTTGTTGATGTCGATGCAATAGCTCGGGAACTTGCATAAAAAATACAAATCGAAGCGCACATCAAGCTCGCAAATGAAAAAAATATGGATAAATATCTACTAAAAGCAGTGTGCTGATTTTATTATCGATCATGCTTTACACTGGCTACTATTTTTTCTCCATTAACCATTTAATCTTTTCAGTGTAATTGTTAGCGAAAAAGAGAGAGGGGGGGGGGAGAGATTGAGATGTTATTTTGTATTTAATATTTTTTCAAGTGGAGGTGAATCGAATCAAAAGAAAAACCACAATAAATAGCCTAAAATAAAGCTGCTCATCATTTCTATAGCTCGAATTCACCATTTTGCCAAACACATGAAATCGTTCGTGACAAATCAACCGATTGCTTTGCATAACGATACCGCATGCGCGCGCCCGTTCTTTTTACTCACGTCTAGATAAAATTAAGTGATGCAAAATTTTGAGGTATGGCTAAATGCAAGGGACCCAGTCGAGTGAATCGTTAATCGTGCATTCGATCGAAATTAAGTGGGAAACCGCCACACTGTTCAGAAATTGCCGAGCAAAAATATCATGAGTGGCCGGAATTTTCGCGTGTATGCATAAAAAAGCCATCTATTTTAATTTACATTTATGAAAGATTTCGTGATGTGTTCCAAATGCGACCGCAATAATTCAACATCATCAGCAACAGCAAATTAGGGCAGTCAAATATGTACGAAAATCTTCGCGAAATTTGAAATTTGGTATGTGCGTGTCGGACAAATGCAAGAGAGTGGAAGCGAGAGAGAGAGAGAGTTCAAGAGAATATTGTTATTATTGAAATTGTTCAATCACGCGATCAAATAAATTCAAGTGACGACAAATGCTGCTGCTGCTGCTGCTGCTAACGAAAAGCCCCCAGGACAAATCACTTTTCCAAAAACGTCCGCAAAATCAAAAGAGAAAAACGATTTTGGGCCTACAACACATTTCCAACAAGACGATAGAATCCACTTGTTTGGTTAGATTTATTTGGTTTATTTATACAAATCCCTTTGAATGTCTCTCACAAGAAAGCGAAGTAAAAAGAATATGTATAGCAGGGAAAAATTGAAATACCGGCAATTTAGAATAGTAAAAACGAATGCTCTTTTGTATGCTGAAATTTATTTTCGTAAAATTTATCGACTAGGCTAGTAATGGTAAGGTTGTGTGTGTGTGTGCCTATTTATTGCGATTAGATATGGTGGCCTATAGAAAAAGTCAAACAGCAAAATATCTCATAATTGCCGTTGAAAAATTGCTTCCATGTACGACAACAGTCGAAGAAGAAGAAGAATGAAAAAAGGGAAAAAATGCGTAATAAAAGCATAATGCGATGATGTCATGTGGAAGCGAATGTCCAAAAATGAGCGTGAACAATAATATAAATAATAATTCGATTATAGTCCGGAAAAAGTGGCCAAAATTGTTTCACGCCGAATACACACAGAGAGGCACATACTTTGCGGCTTGTGGCGGTGCAAAACACGGTCTGGCATGCGATTTTGCAAAAACTTGATAAATGATGACAGTGCCAATTACGTGAAAAACATTGCCGGTTCAGCTGGTTCTTCATTTTCGGCCTATTTACACAGATTCATAATGGGCTGTACATTTAATGGTACATTTGGTGGCGATGGTCGTGTACATTGGAAATGGATTTCCTAAGGATGCTTTAAAACCTCCGATATTCATAAATATCATCTCTCTTGGTCGATGCAAAAAATTCTGCCTTTTTCGTTGCCACATTCTCATCGTCATCGTTGTCGCCAGTCTTGAGTCAGCGCACGGCTCACTTATAAGTGTTTTCATGCTCCACTTCAGCAAATTTAACTTTCCGCGAGATTAATTGATGTTTCAATTAATGAGTTTCATTAGTTTGAAGATGGCCAAATGAACGGAGTAAGAAGAGACCAAATTTTCAGCTTTGAAATTGCTTCGGCAAAAAAGGAAAACTGTTCTTGTGTATGTGTAGAGTTCACAGTGATTGCACCGGCATAAAATTATCCAACGAAAAAATATGGTTACGGTCAGTTTGCACGGCCCAAAGAACACACACAGAAAGAGAGAGAGAGAGAGAGAGAGAGAGAGAGAGAGAGAGAGAGAGAGAAACATACATCGAAAAAGGCTACAAATTGCGATGGTTGATAAGAGTAACACAAGAACATAAAATGTGGAAGCGACAGTGCAATGGGCACATTGGGAAAAAGGAGCCGCTTTATAGAGTTGTTTTTTTTTTCCTACTCACACTAATACACTGACTAGAAAATCGATGGGCGAACTAAATCGACAAACGAACCAGAGAACCACTGGCTAAACGAGGCACACCAACGTAGAAATCTACTCTCCACGCCTCGTCTCGTCTCAACTGCCAAAGAACATACGGAAACAATTATTGTACGCTACGGTTTTGTGCAGTGTTATTTGTTGCCTTGAATGCAAAATTTTATTGCATTTTATGTTTAGGCAAATGGATTAATTTAAAACGCCTGGTCACGGAACGGAGATGGCCACCGTCACAAATACAATGCCGTTTGATAATTTTTCTTGCAATGGAAAACATGAAGAAAGAAATCCGTTGGAAAAACGAAATCCCAATCTTTTTTCTCTTTTAGTAGGTAGATGTGAATTAGCTAATTTTCGTAACCAACGACGAAAAAGAAAAAAAAAAACGAAGTAGAAAAGCGAAGGAAGCAGCGAAAACCATTGTTTGCCCCATTGTTGCATAAGTCAAATTGAACTTTGAACGATCTGCAATCGGTTCGTATCTCGAGAAGTGGCTTATTCTCACTTCACCCAAAAACATAAATATCAAACGGCAGCACGAGCTCAAAGTTCAACACTGCAGTACTGAAGCAGAAAACTACACTACACAAGTTTCAAATAGAAAAGCGAACAAAAACGAAAAAGTTTTTGTTATTTCAACAGTAACTGAAAATTGCTAACTTTGAAAATGTCTTGTGCAAAGAGAAAGAGAGAGAGAGAGAGAGAGAGAACGAGAGTCTTTACCTGTGTGTACGTGTATGTTTGCGAAAACAAGGTGTGGATTGTGAAAATTGTCCACTAAATATCCGAAATCGTTTTTATATCAGTTGCTCTCAATTGGACTTTCTTTCTCCTTTTGTTTACCCTTTTGCTCATGAATCGTTACTCAAATATCCATTCGGATATATATACATAGCAATTTTGTACTTGATTACCGTTAATTGACTGCTGATTATTGATTGATTTTGCTTCGCGTTGAAAAACTAATTTCGGTAGCTCTTCGTTTTCAATTCTCTTTCTCGAGCATTACAAAGTTTCTCGTTCAGAGTCCATTTTCGTGAAACGATCAATTCACTTTGAAACCCCGTCTTCTAAACGGTTTCACACAATTTATATAATATACATGGATTTCACTTACTTGTTATCTTTCACGTTTATCAAAAATGCATTCGAATCATTTCAGCTCCGGACAGTTAGAGAGAAATAAGTGTCGATGCTTGGCTGTATGTCAATCAATCAATGTTACAAAATTATTTCCACTCACATTCACTCTGATGCACATATAAACTCACATTGCTTGTATTTGGAATTGCAAACGATCAACCGAAAATTTATGCGGAAAATATGTAAACATCGCACAAATGTCAATCACTTTGTTCGTTGGTTTGTTATCTATTCGCCGTCCTCGCACTGAATACAATTGCAATTATTTATGAATTATTGATATTCACCCGCAGCAACAACTCTGCTCGGTCTAATCATTCAATAACACACCGTGTACACTGTAGTACATACATATATGTAGCGCTTATTTCTTCGGATCGCCTGAATCAAATTATTATCATTCAGTGTTTTATTTTTTGTATTTTTAGCTTTATGCGTGTTTGCGATGGTTAAGCTGCGGTATGATTTGTTGTTTGTTTTGAAATTCATGGGTCAATGCAAGAATAATCAGTATTTTCTATGAACCGCATGCACTTTCTTTCAAAATTATTATTGAGCAAATACTGCGGTTCAGAAATTCTCTTGAAACTGTTACCGAATGTGTCAGTCTTCATCAAATTCGCGCAGAATTCACGAAAACACTCAACCACAGAGATACTCTTATCTGTCCTCATTCACAAATATTTCATTCAGTCTATATCGATTACGTTGTTTGTTCTGTTTCTGTGTTCTGGCACTCGATTCATCCGAAAAATGATTTTAAAGCTATATCGAAATTTTTGTCGCCGTATATTGAAACTATGACACCACCATCATTTCTTCTCTAATAAGAAAGTCTCTTCGGTGTTTTATTCTGTTTTTGGAGCTTGTATTGTGCGCCTCTTTTGTATCCACCTCAGTCACTGTACTTTACGCTTCGTCTGCTGTGTATTCGGGAAAACTTGGTTAAACTTTGCAAATTACAAACAAATTTGTTCGACTAGTTTGCGGTTCATGTACTCCAAAATGACCGCATTAACCAGTGTTCATTCACTTGATTTCACTAAGTTTCTTTGTTGCACATGCAAATTCAATTAGCGGCTTCTTCTTCACTAACGAAATTTTCTCTCTTACTCTCTGATTTTCTTTTGTTTATTTTTTTTTTGCGTATACATGCTATGTAATGAAATAACTCGAAAGACGGCGTCCTTCTTAATGTAATACAATCGTTATGTTGTTATCGATTGACACTGATTTAAATTCGATTTACAAGACGCTCCGAATAATATTAGGTGGTGAGACTTGGTTTTTCTTCGTTTTCCCCGGATTGAATCTCCCAATCTCGACACATATGATTTTTTCGCTCAGTTCAATTCACATGGGCAAACTAAGATTTCATAGTTATGGATACACAAATAAATGCCATTTAATCAACGGGTAAAGAATACAATGTTCACTCGGTTCTCTTCTGTTCTTCTCGACTTATAAATTCTCGTAGCTCTCGTATACTGGCGAAGAAATATATCGCGCTCTCGTCGCTTTTTCCATTCAACGTAAACAACAAAACCGACGTTATAACGTTATGACGATCAGAACGCACAATACCGACTAAACTGTGTTCATCCAATTTGTTGGCACACAGTGCCTCCTCAGTCACATCATCACCGCACACACTCTTGATACAGGCATATCAAAATTCATTTTTTTTCTTGCTGTTCGTGCTGTCGGTTCGTCGTGCCGTCGTTCCGCTCTCAAACCAAACATAAACAGTAGAATGCGCGCGGCACAGCTAGTATCTTTAGTATAGTCCATGCATAGATGGAGAAACAGAGAGAATGAGCAGCAGCAGCGCGCATTCATACTGAAACGCGTTCGGCAACACGGCATACACATTTGTGCAGAAGGGATACACAGAACGCGACAGCACACCATGAACTAGGGGAATGATTTTGATTTTCTCTATGGAATTCTATCTCGTTTGCAAGAATCCAAGAGAAATTTTTTGAATTGAACTAAGTTGATATTCACTTTCCAAATTTGTTTAAAGTTTTATTTTAATTCGATTAAATAAATAAATCAATTTCCGAATTAGACTTCTTTCGATTTTTTTACGTAGGTCTGCCTCGGCATAACCAAAATTGGCTATGATTAAATTTACCCATTCATGATCTTCTCGACTTTTTTTTAAAGTAAAAGACCAAAATCAACTTCGTTTTCCAACACTTTTGGGCGCCGTTGACACATAATTGCAACAAATATTTTCTCGAAAGAAGAAGAAAATAAAATTTACTGAATTTTCTGCATGAAATGCAATATTTGTCCAAAATCTTTGTTGGATCCAATCCCCTAGCCAAAATCATGTGTAGTTCTATCCGCTTGCTAGTCGACAGCAGTCTATCGAAACGTGCACACGCAAACCGACTGCACATACGGTCGCAATGCATTCGATATCATATGGAACTGTGTGTATAGTGCTTATAACGGCGCGCAATGAGAAACAGGCGATGAAGAGAAGCGGAAAAGAAAAAGAGTCGAAAAAGCGTCAAACGCACGGGGATATCAGTAAACAATTCTGTAGACATACACAGGCAACGGCTAAGAACAACAACGCCAATAATACTCAACGGAGAGACGGCAATAATATTAACAATAATAATAGTAATAACAACATTATATTGTCGTAACGGGTACGACATGGATGGGCCTAAGAGTTGATGGTGGCATCGCATTTGTGGAATTCGCATTAACGAGCGCTGTGGATTCAAAACGTTGAGCGTACGGACGGAGCAAACACATTTTCAAACCGCTTCTGACTGTGATAAGATTCAACGGATGCGATTGTTTTGATATGCATTTTATTCAAAATATTTGTGATATTTTAAATAGTATGTAGCATACGTCACATGTCACCAAATACCTGCTTATTGCATCGAGAAAAAAACATATATTATTTCAAACATTATCAGTTGTTTCATGAAATTAAAATCGTTCAACTGTAGGCTATTATAAATCATACCGATTTTTAAAAAAACCGTTTTTGCTATTATTTGACTCAAATGAGAATATTTTTTTATCGGTTCAACGCATTATTTATTAATGATATCTAATGGTCTTCAATCCTGAAATTCAATTCCAAATTTAAATCACATGAAACGAATTTTTTTTTATCATAATATATCAATTGAATCGAAACACCGATCATTTAAGCACGTTTCCATCAAATTACAGCCGGTTGTTAAATTATTCAGTTCAAAGTGTAGAAAAAAGCCGAGTTCATTAAAACAATTACCAAACTTATAACTTTATTTATGCAATACCCATGAATTGATTTTTGAAACGTTTGTTCTGAACTGAAAAACTCAGCGCTAGTGCAGAGCAGAGAAGAAAATGAAAATAAATGATAGTGAATTGAACTTTTGAATTTCAGTTGTGTTAAAAATTGTCATTGCAAGATAAAAATAACATCTAGGGGACAGTTTTTGGTGTGATAATATTATTTAATCGACACACAAACACTCGATGTCGATTGGGCAGAATAATACATTTTTTGCATTCATCCAACCATTGTCAGCAAACATGGATTTATGACACTAAAACACGCTTGTCATTGTATAAATCAATAATAAACTAATATTATTATTTGAATTGACATCTTTTTTTTTCATTTGAAGAACGATTATTTTTGTTCATATTTTATCATACAGATATGAACAACACGAATAACCACTCCTAGGGGAATTTCTCACACAAAAAGTTTGAGCAAATGTGCAAAAATTTCTATTATTTCTTCTTTTTTATTGAAATTGTATGAAAATGTACTGAAATGACGATTTTGCTTGAATAAAAGTGTTCGGGAAGTGGGTTTTGGTGGATCCTCAGGATGGACCAGATCCGGTTTGACATTATCCTGGCCCCAAAGGGATATTGCAACTTTTTTGACCAGAAAAAACGCCATCTTACGTCGTGCCCGTAAATTATTTTACTGTACATTTAGATGGTAAGGCTTGAACAAAAGTTCGACGCTATGCATAAACTTGGAAAGAGCTTGATAAACTTGGTGAAATAACATATATTTTATGGTCGTTGCAATACCCCTATGCCTGGCCCATCCTGAAGATCCACATCCAGAACCGGGAGCAGTTCTGAACGATCCTTGAGATCCACCAAAACCCACTTCCAGACCAATTTCATTGAAGCATAATTCAAAAGTTCAGTCTTAATGTACGATTATTTACACGAATTGACAAAAATTGATCGAAGCGGACCGAATTGAAGAAATTTTTCAAAATTCATAAGAATTCATTCTTTTTTTTTCGTGAGAAATCCCCCTAGACTCCAATGCAACTATTTTCTGAAACCAAAAGAAAAAACGGATTAAAATGTCATATTAGCTTTCGTTAAAATATTGAATGATATGATTGTAGCTCTAATCATAGTAGATTTTTGGTTTTATGCCATACTACTAGACCAACCACATTCGAAATGCAACCATAGCATTAACTGATTTCATGTATTTTTTCAACATACCTAATCTCAATTGAATGCAGAACATCTTTGCTTTTAATAATTAATATCGTCTTTTGACGGCCTGATTTCACTGGTTTTAATATTCAATATAGATGTTATTCAATGTTGATTGCATCATCGATTTTAAGCCATTAATGGATCACACATTTCCCATTTAATTATTTCCAAGGGCAATCCAATATCTAACTGTTGGAAATTGATACAGTAATTTTTTAAAACCATATTCCTACTTGTTCGTAAATTGTTGAAAATTTTTGAGAAAAAATGGATTCGAAATATCCGTATTAATAAAATTTGTAATAAAAAACCAGAGAAGGCTTGAACTTCAAGTTTGACTGTGTTTTAAGCTTAAATTGACAATTTATTTCAAGTTAACTCTCCGATTTTTATTCCTGGTATAAAAATAAATTACAAAATTTCGATATGACTGGAAACTTTTCATATTTATGGCACCACTAAGAACAGAAATAAAGTTTAACATCAATTTACAGCTCCATAAGTAATAATTATGCTGAAAATTTTGGTATTTTGACCAAAAAAATTTATCCCTGCGATAAATTTATGCCGAGGAACATAAATTGACTGTAACTGAAATAAGTTAATTGTTCTTTTTTTGCAATAGCAAAAAAAAAAATGTCATTCTGGCTGGATACGGTTGGAAAAGACAGTGCTCGTAGGTGAAAAACGAATTAGTTCTAACAATATTCATTCAAATGATTCGGTTCTCGATTAAAATTCAAAACACACAAAAACTAATATATTCGAAGTATTTGAAATTTAGTTGTATCGTCTAATTGCATTTGGGCTGTCAAGAGATTATGCACTTAGAACAACCCATATATTTTAAAAGCTTTAACATTTCGAAAAAGGAATCGAGCTCAAATGCAAGTGTTCAAATTCAGGTTCCAATTTATTCAGTTGAAAGCTGTCTCATTCAATTTTAAATATTGATAATGAATCTTTTTTTCGATTAGAATAAAACAACGAATAAATGTCGACATTTGAATTTAAAATTCAACTGAATAATTCAAATTGCCAGTTTTTAATGATAGTTTCAATCTGTGAATGCCAATTGAAAATATGCATAGTATGTTCGGCTGAAAATTCGATTCACATTGATATTATTTTTTCTTCAATTCTTTTTTTTTATCAAATAAACTGATTGAAAATGTTACAAATAATTTTCAAATGAAATCTAAAAACGTTCAGTTTAAAAACTATAGTGTTGCCACGTGTGTGCGTGCACACTTGGTAAACTGTCAAAACAATGTGTAGTTTGGTCAACCACCGCCGACGATACCGAGCGCTATCCGTATAAAAGAATCATAAAACAAAACGTTCAAAATATGGGTTGTGATTTTGACATTTTGCCAACGAAATGAAGAAATTGTAGTGTCCATTGTTGCGGTATAATGAAGCGCATTTCAGTCGATGTGACATACTCGCACAAATAATAGTAATAAGACGGAAAAAAACGACAGAAAGATATATTGTGATAGGGAAAATAATTTGGCGGTCGCATTGCATGCAGAGTACATCGCAAACGAAATTTTTTGTGTGGTGTGCTTGGAACATTTCGGTTTTTACGCGACCGTGTGTATCGAATGATTGTTGAATTTTGATTGAAATTCGTGAGAAGAAGTGTCAAAAGTGAAATAATTTAACGAAAATGAGTTCCGGCTCAATAGAAATTCCGTTGAGAGACACGGACGAGGTAAGTTGTGTAAACAAAGAAATAAAAACAGTTTTGACAACATACAAAACAAATGTTAACGATGAATGGTTTGACAAAAATTTCATTTCTATATAGGTAATTGAATTAGATCCAGAACAATTACCCGATGGCGATGAAGTGCTTAGCATTTTGCGGCAAGAACATTCACAAATCAATACATGGGTCAATGTTGCGGTGAGTAGACATTTTCTAATCATGAGTTCTTCTTTCAGTAGTCGAAATGAATAAAAAGAAAATTGGTTGTTGATTGTAAAACAACGAAAATGACGATGCTAATGAAAACGTGTTCGTTTGTATGTTCTTTTTTCCATTTTAGCTTGCCTATTACAAGCAAAACAAAACACAGGATTTTATAAAAATCCTTGAAGCCGCTCGCAGTGAAGCCAACACCGAATATCGTGACTATGAAAAGGATCAAATGCGAGCATACGATATGCTGGCCGCGTACTATGTACAGGAGGCAAATCGTGAGAAAACCAAGGACAAAAAGCGTGAACTGTTCATGAAGGCAACGCATCTGTATACCACCGCCGATAAAATTATCATGTACGATCAAAACCACTTGTTGGGTCGAGCATATTTTTGCCTATTGGAAGGTGATAAAATGGAACAAGCCGATGCACAATTCAATTTCGTGCTGAATCAATCGCCATCGAATATTCCGTCACTGCTGGGCAAAGCCTGTATCGCTTTCAATAAAAAAGATTTTCGTGGTGCATTGGCCTTTTACAAGAAAGCGTTACGAACAAATCCAAATTGCCCGGCAGCTGTACGGTTGGGTATGGGACATTGTTTCCTGAAAATGAACAATCACGAAAAAGCAAGGTAATAAGATTCGATGGGAGTTGATATTAACCCCATTTTTCTGTCTATTTTGTGCCTTTCTCGAACTGTCAAATGGAAAATATTTTTCTGTATTTTAGATTGGCCTTCGAAAGAGCATTGGAATTAGATCCACAGTGTGTTGGTGCTCTGGTCGGGTTGGCAATATCCAAATTGAATTTGCATCAACCGGAAGCGAATCGGATCGGTGTTCAAATGTTGTCCAAAGCATATACGGTCGACTCGACAAATCCAATGGTTCTGAATCACTTGGCTAATCACTTTTTCTTCAAGAAAGATTATCAGAAAGTGCAACACTTGGCATTACATGCATTTCATAATACCGAAAATGAAGCAATGCGAGCGGAGAGCTGTTATCAATTAGCACGTTCGTTCCATGTTCAAGGCGATTACGATCAAGCGTTCCAGTATTACTACCAATCAACACAATTTGCACCCACGAATTTCGTATTGCCACACTACGGTTTGTAGTTGTTTATTTCACCACAAATTTTTTACATAGCAAATTCTATCTCTTCGCTGCAAAAATGAAATTACTTTTTTCTTTCTATTTTTCAACCATAAATGAGTTGTCTCTGAAAAAAATGGAATATTTTTCGGATCACATTCAGCTGCATTGTGATTGTGTGTTCGAATTGAAAATAAATGGCATGGATTTTTTTTTTCCAGGCTTGGGACAAATGTACATTCAGCGGGGTGATGCTGAGAATGCGGCCCAATGTTTCGAAAAAGTATTGAAAGCGCAACCGGGCAACTATGAAACAATGAAAATTCTCGGTTCGCTGTATGCCAATTCAAATTCGCAGTCAAAGCGTGACATAGCCAAAACGCATCTCAAAAAGGTTACCGAACAATTTCCGGATGATGTCGAGGCGTGGATTGAATTGGCACAGATTCTCGAACAAAATGATTTGCAAGGATCGCTCGCTGCCTATGCAACGGCCACACAAATTCTGAAAGAAAAAGTCAACGAAGACATACCGCCGGAAATATTGAACAATGTGGCCGCATTGCACTATCGATTGGGTAATTTAAGTGAGGCAAAAATCAAATTGGACGCGGCCATTGAACGGGCTAAGATTGAATCGGAACAAGATCCACAATACTATGAATCGATTTCCGTGACCATGAAATACAATTTGGGTCGATTGAATGAAGCAATGTGTGCCTATGACAAAGCCGATCAACTGTACAAAGACATTCTCAAAGAGCATCCGAATTACATTGATTGCTATCTACGTTTGGGTTGCATGGCTCGTGACAAAGGTTTGATTTTTGTGGCTTCGGATTTCTTCAAAGACGCCCTCAAAATCAACACCGAAAATCCTGATACACGTTCGTTGCTCGGTAATTTGCATTTGGCAAAAATGCAATGGACTTTGGGCCAGAAAAATTTTGAGACAATTTTGAAAAATCCAGCAACATCACAGGATGCGTATTCATTGATTGCGCTCGGTAATTTTTGGTTGCAAACGCTACATTTGCCGAATAAGGACAAAGATCGTGAAAAGAAACACCAAGAATCGGCGTTATCCATCTACAAACAAGTGCTACGAACCGATCCGAAAAATATTTGGGCAACAAATGGTATCGGTGCCGTTTTGGCTCACAAAGGTTGCATCAACGAGGCACGAGACATCTTCGCTCAGGTGCGTGAAGCCACCGCTGAATTTAGTGACGTTTGGCTGAATATTGCACACATTTATGTGGAACAGAAGCAGTATGTCAGTGCCATTCAAATGTACGAAAATTGTTTGAAGAAATTTTATCGACACAACAACGTTGAAGTCATGCAATATCTCGCCAGAGCCTATTTTCGGGCTGGAAAATTGAAAGAAGCCAAAGTCACATTGCTTAAGGCCAGACGAGTCGCACCACAAGATACGGTGAGTTTTGGATTTGTTTGTTTATTTTTCTATACGAGGAGCCCATTTTTCTTTTTTCATTAATTTTTTTTTGTGGATTTCTTTGACGTTTCATCGTTGTTGTGCATCATCATAAGCCTACAACCTAGCCCCCTAGTTAAATAGTTCAAATTTTTCCGAATCTTCATGAATCTCTTTGAATCAAATCTTTTCTAATAGTAAATTCCATGTCTACCCCCAGCCTCCAACTCCTTTGTTTCTAATAAAAAAAATTCCTTTTTTGTTTTTAGGTTTTGTTGTTCAATATCGCTCTGGTTCTTCAGCGACTAGCCATGTTAATTCTAAAAGATGAAAAGTCGACGCTTGAAATTGTTCTTCAGGCGGTCCATGAATTGGGTTTGGCACACAAGTAAGTTGTCAACTAATTGTCAGCTCTTATTATTATCGTTGGAAATATTTGAATGCGTCAGAATGAAACATTTGACAAGCTCACGTGTCGTAATAACAAAATTTTGTTTCGCTTTGTTATGCAATTGTTTTGCGCTCTGAATTTATCAAGTACGTCAAACCTTGTTTTCATTCTGACACGTTCATTTCTAAAGGCAATTGAAATATAAATATTAATCAATATCAACGAAATTGAAGTCAAAGATTGATAATTGAATATCAAATCGCAAACCAATTTTTTTCTAACGAAATTTTTTTACTTTTCCGCACACGAAGTGTACGAAGAAAAGTATAGCGATCATCGTGAGAAAAAATGTGACAATAATTTTTTGTGTCCACGATAACTTCCGAACCTCTTGGGAGATTTTGCTCAAATTCGGCCAGGAGGTGTTGTATGTAAATATCTTGGATGTATCAAGAATTGGATCAAATTAGACCAGTTCATCTGGTACTTTTGGTACATTATACACCCAAAGGACTCTTGGATTTTTTATGCATTAAAAAAAACAATTTCATAACGTAAAATGCATTTTTTGGCTTTTTCAAAACGATTTTCTCATGATAAGCCGTCATTTAACACGATAGCCGAACAAACATCAAAACATAAAAAAAACAACAACAAAATGTGCGGAAAAGTACGTTTACTTTTGTAAAACTTTTTATTTTAAAACGGTTTCACCCTTTTTTTTCCAGATACTTCACTTACCTTTCAGTGCATGGTGACAAGCAGCGTTACAACATTGGGTTGGCCAGCATTGAAGCGAATCAATGTCAAGATTTGCTGTCACAGGCTCAGTACCATGTATCTCGTGCCCGTCGCATTGACGAAGAGGAGCGTACCCTCCGAAATAAACAAGAGCAAGAACGTGCGGCATTCAAACAGCGGCAAGAGCATGAACGCCTTCTGGAGGTCGAGAAGCGGCGCAAAGCCGAAGAAGAAATGTTGGCGAAACGTGAAGAATTTAAGGAAAAAACGAAAAATGCCTTACTTTTCTCGGAGCCACCACCAGAAAGGAAGAAAGGACCCGGTAGAGGTCGTCGTGATGGTTATGTTTCAGATTCGGGCAGTGAAGCCGATGGAAATCGTGAGGGTGGCGGTGAAGGTGGCGAAAAACCACGTAAGAAGGCAACGAAAGGTAGGAAAAAACGTGAAGGCAAAGGTGGGAAAGGTGAAAAACGGCGCCGACGACAATCGGGCAGTGAAAGTGAAGGGCCCAAAGAGAAACGCGGCCGAAAGAAAGGTTCGAGAGGTACAAAACCAGCCAAAAAAGACAAGGATGATGGACTCACTAAATCACAAAAAATGCGCATCATTTCGAAAGCAACTATTTCAACCAGTGAATCCGAATCAGATAAAGATAACGGGCGTCGTTCACGCAGCCGCAGCAGAAGTTCAGGTAATGAAAAAAAGCTGAATTGAGCGAATTTTTTTCATCAACATTTTTTGCTCAAATTAAATTGAATTATCCATATTTCCAACGACAGGCTCACGTTCGAGGTCGGCGTCAGGCAGTGGCAGTGCCCGGTCCAGAAGTAGAAGTGGTTCAGGTAAAATCTCTATACATTTCATAGCACTTTTCACCAAACATTTTTAGCCAATTCATTCAAATTCACATTTGTTATGAAGAAGACAAGGTTAATTTTTAATACACGAAGAAATGTCGTCCACCCAAGAAAACTTCACGTTTTCGTGTATTCACTTTCATGTGCAAATAATAAAGAATATCAATTTTCATGAGGTTATGAAATACTTACAACTCAACTAGATTCAACCTTACATAAGTTAATTTTCATTGCAATTGTATAGCATTTTTAGGTACACCACCTTGTTGATGGTATAATTAGAATAAATTTTACGATTTTGTTGATATTTTTTAGGCTCACGCTCACGATCTGGTTCTCGTTCAGTGTCACGCTCTCGATCTCGCAGTGGAAGTGCTCGATCAAGAAGCAGAAGCGGTTCGTATTCAATATCTACTTATATTTGTTTTGGCTTTATTTCACTCTTGCATTGCATCACATTCAATTTGAAATTGTGAACTTACGATAGTATTTTTGGAACATTGAATAAAAAATGATATTTTTGTAGGCTCGCGATCACCAAGTCGTTCACGCAGTGGAAGTGCTCGGTCGAGAAGCAAAAGCGGTACGTATTCAACTGAATCTAATTGGGTTATATACAATTTGATTTAGACAATAACGTCTCATAAAAAATTTTGATAAAAATTGCATTTCCACTAATTTGTGACAAAATTCACTCAGTTCAACAGCTCACACATTTTTTCACCCCTTCACTATGATAAATATGTGAAATTTTTACTAAAATTAAATGAATAATCTTTTGATAGGCTCACGATCACCAAGTCGATCACGCAGTGGAAGTGCCGCATCTCGTCGTAGTCGAAGTGGTTCTGCAAGAAGCAGAAGTGGTTAGTAAGCTCCCATTAAATTGTTTTATTATTTTATTTCACTTTTTGCTAACTCTCTTTATCATCATTCCAAATTAGGTTCCCGGTCTCGTTCTCCATCCCGTTCACGAAGTCGTAGCGGTAGTAGGAGTGGAACAGGTTCGCCGGCAAAGCGAAGTGGTTCTGGTTCAGGATCGGAGTAAATTTAGAATAAAACAACAACAACAATGGTTCATTTGATTTAAGATCTTCAATTATTTCTTTAAATTTTTCCACATCCCCCTCCGTCAATATAAATCGATCCTGACAAAACACCTCAATTTTGATTTGTAGAGAAACTTACGAAAATATTTTGTTTCACCAAAATTTAATTAAAAAAAAGTGTTAACCATTGTCTAAACGAATATCTGTTTTTATTTTAAGAAAATGTCGGAAAAATCATTAGAAAAATAGACACGAGAATTTTAGAAATCATAAAACGTTAATGCTTATCACAAAAAACGTCGAACGAATGAAGCACATTATTGATTAATTTGATGATTGAAATGAGTTTGATCACTACACCAACAAATGAGTTACAATCTGTTACTCTTTTGGATTGATAGAATGCGAATATGTTTATACGCCTTTGTACGCCGTGTACACTGTACATACTGGAAGATATATTCACGCCTGTTAGACGCATATTGAATTTATATTTTTGTACATATTCTAAATACGTACAGTGTAAAACATTTTCAAACGTATTCTGTCTGATCTGATGGTTATGGCATCCATTGATTGGATATAGGTGTCCAATGGGCATCAAATATGTTCACTGCGTGAATATATTCGCCAGCTTATATTCTAAAAAGTGCGTATAAACATATTCACTATTCTCTTTGCCGGGTTGTACGGCCGGCCATCCAACAAACCATAAACACAGAAGTTCCTTGTTAATATTGGTATCGCTGCATATCCCTGACAAAACATAGGAAACAAAACAAAAACAAAAACCAAAACTCGAACGCAAAACCACTTTCAATCACTGTGAAATGTCTCCACGTTTATTCTATTGATACAATAATTTGAATAAACAGTATCATTTGTCGATTACTAATTTCTAATGGTAATAAATACAAAAAAAATTAACTACGTATGAGCCAAGCTTAGAAAAGAAAGGTGTACTTTAACGTATAAGTTAAAAATTATGAATTTGCCATCGAATCAACAATTGGTGTTACTTGTGATTGGAATTTCGCGGTGGTATTTTATATTTGAAAATTGTGCATTGTGACCATTGCCATTGCTTTGATTTTTCGATATTCGTCGTGATGATTCAAGCATTGTCGTCATTGATGTTACTATGCCTTTTTGACTCTGCGAGTATTCTCTGTGCCAAAAAGACAGAAAAGTGAGCTCATTGAAATGCAAATAACTTGAAAATATAGTCATTATAGCACAGATAATAACTGGATGAGAAGAAATACTAATAAAAAATGCGTTGGCTTTGAAATACCTCGTAAAGCTGCTTCGGTTATTATTATTGTTGTATGTGCTTTTCTTTCTGTTGCGATTTCGTACAGGCCACAATGAAAATGCGCCATAAATGATTGGATTAGCGACGCTGTTGGACATGCCGAAGAAAAAAATTGCTGACATCAGATCATCGCCGAACTGAAATCGCAAATAATTCAAATGTGTCTAAATTTCAATCAAATAATTGGAAATGTGTCAATTTTGAATTGGAAATCTACTAAATGGGAATGTACTAAATGAAATGAATGTTTACCCGTTCGTCGGGGTTCATGAACATGAAAATCAGCATCGAAATCTGAAAAGAAATTATTTATCAAATTTTTGAAGAAAAAAAAAGAAGTTTAAATAATATCAATACAAACATAGTACGGTGTCCAGCAAATAATGAAAGCAGCCACAATGGCTACCGATAATCGTAGCGATTTCATTTTGGCACGATGGATTAGCTTCTGTCTATTATTCAATTTGCGATCCTGATCATTTGACGTCTCGTTGACTTGGAATATTTTCTCGCTGTCTGTGGTGAGAAAAAACACACACGGAAACTCAACGTAAAATGCAAAAGTAGAACAATAATTTCATCAAAGATAGTCAATTTGTTTATGAAAATTAAAATTAAACGATTGACTTTCTTCCGAAAAACGTTCCTAATTATAGACAAAGTCAAATAGCGATCGAGAAAATTTCATTGAATGCGTTCGTGTCAATGCTACTGCACATACAAACACACACACACACACACACACAAATTCGCGCGAAAAAATAGGAGATAAATCAATTGAGAGCTGCAAAACGTGAATTGCGTGACTGTTGTGTTGATTGTTGGCGCGGTCGCGATCAAAATACTGAAAAATTGGCAGATAATGCATTTTAATGTTCTTAATTAGTGTTAAACAGCGAAATTATAATAGAGGTATCCGTTATGCTTGGTACTCGTCTTGCATCGACAGAGAATTCTCATTAGCAATTCCATGCAATGGACGCACACATTGTGTGGCGATGATCGAAATTCATTCACTCACCTGCGATGGTTTTGAATGTGGAAACGTAAGTAAGCAGCAAAATTCCGAGTGGAATGATGAACATGAACACAAGCGTAAACATTGTGTATAGTTGCTCTTGCCAAGGCGCCGAATATGAACCGTACGTAACACACTGATAAAATTCCTCGATGAATGGGCCGCGCGTCACCGTGAAAATGTAATACTTGAATCGGCAATAAACAAAAAAAAAAAACATGGCAAAAATGATGAAAACTTATTACTTAATAATAATTAATTGCGTAAATGAAACATTCTTTGCGAAAATCTTCAATAAATATGCTAGTGTTTATACTTTTGACCCGGTCTAAAAATAGCTAGTTTGCAAAACGATTGAAAAAAGATCAAAGAGAAAATCGGCAGATTCATACGTAGAACAAAGCGAAAAGCGATATAAAAACGTTTTTATGGACATTTTATTGGCCGAAAACAAAGTTAATTTGACATGAAGAATGATGAAAAATACATTTTTGGCGGTGATAAAATTAAATTAAAAACCCATATCACAATCATGGTTTGAACGCAATTTCATTGACAATATTGACGCATTCATTCCAGTTAAATCATTTAACCAATCATTGTCAATTTAAAATAATGTAAATTTTTCCATATCTGTCAATACACGCCGCTTCAATGAAGATTTACCGATTCGAGATGGCCTTGAGCCTCATTGTTATTTTTGTGCCTTTAGATACATATGAATCTGGGATTGGATAAATTGATTTTTTTTCTTCATTTTCATACATTTGTTTTTCTGAATGGATTTTTTTGAACGTTACATTTTAGTGGGTATTTCTCTCGAATTTTAAGCAATATAGTATATAATATATAATAGATTGGACAAGTTAATGAACAAAAGATTTTTTGAAAACGAGTGAAATTGTTTTGCAACAACTTCTCAATGCAATAGATCAGCAATGTCGCACAACAGAAGGGTTTTTGGCAGTGCATGATTTATTTATTTATTTATTTATTACGGAGCCTACATTATGCCAATATGTGTTCCCAGCAAGCTGAGAACACGCTGGTCAGAGATCCAATACGGCATAAATTCCGCCCATGGTGCGTCTTTTGCAAAGAGAATACAGTCAGGTAAGGGATGATATAAAAGTGAGGCTTTCATACCAGAATTGGGTCCGGAAAACCATGGTAAAACCGGCCTGATTCTGGAAAACCAAGGCAAATGAGTTTTTGCAATTAAAGTGAATTAACATCAATGAGAAAAATCAAATGAAAAGTCAAACTTAATCTAAATTGGATAAGAAATTTCATAACAAAGGTCCGAGTATTTTACTATTTGAAAAATATCTAAAAATTTACTGCGTGAAACGTAACAGATGCTTTAGGTTATTTTTAAACGCGACTAGAGATTTAGAATTTCTATGAAAATGATTGATTTGGTTACTCAACCGCGCTGTATTGGTTAGCCAAAAGTAGTAACCTTCACACTGAAACATACGTTCAATCAACTCATTGTCGCTGCAAGCCGGCATTGAATATTAAATTGACTGTTGCAAAAGAGATCCAAAAGCAACAAAAGTCCATCGCCGGTAGAAATCACCGAAAGAAAATAGAATGTCGAACATTTGTGTCCATAATAAATTGTATGAAATTGATGTGAGAAATGCAGAAAGGTGCATTTGGATTTGTGAAACGTGTCAAAAATAATTTATTATTCATGGAAATAATAAAAAGAGAAAGAGAGCGGTAGAAGAAAACAACGAAAAAGAGACAGGATAGTAAGAGAGAACAATGTTCAATCGCACAGGTTTAGGGGAAATTGGTATTTAATTGTGAACTTTGCAATGAAACATTGAATGCAAGCCACGTAAAGACATGTTAATATATTACGTATTGCATTACAATTCTATGGTTGAGATTGAAAGGTGGATAATAGCCGTGCAATAAAAAAAGAGAGGAAGTTTTTTTTTTCATTCAAAAAGACAGAGAAGAGTATGTCTTATGGCTGATTATTACTGTTATAAAAAGGATTGTCTAGTTTGCCGCGTTTTTTTCGCGTTCTAATGAAAGATTTAAACAGATCGATGTAACCAGCCAGTTTATAGAACTAGCAACTGTTATCTGTTGCCTCCCATGCAAAATGAAAATCGTCTTTTTGAAAATGTCATTTGATAAAATAAGTAAAGTCCTCTCAATCTCAGCCATGGAATTATCAATCAAAAAAATGCAAAGCTGAATTTCAATAGTAAAAAAGATAATTGGAAAAATGAATTTAACTGAAAAAAAAAAAAATCCAAAATAAATAACGCATACAAAAAAAGCAAAGAATAATAAAAAAAATGTGAATTAAAGACACTCACCTGTGGCAAACTCATGACTAATGAGAGGATATAGGAAAAAATGAGAAGTCGATGACAGCGCTTGGCCATGTTAAGTGATTTCATTGGGTATTTAACTGCCACCCATCGATCGATACCAATCAGAACTAGAACGTATGTCGACAAATACAAGGCAAACATCTGGAACAATTTCATCATTTTGCAACTGATTTCGCCGGCAATCCATTCAACCGTGTAGTTCCATGCTGCTTCGCCGAAAATACAGAAAATCGTAACGAGTAAATCGGCTATCGATAAATGTAGAATTAGGGTATATATTGCGCTCCAGGTATGTCGTGAATTGCGTCGACTATTGCGCGTTTTGCTGATGTGCAACAGGATCGCAACATTGCCCACCAACGAAATGATGCCAAGCATGACGAGCACATAAACACGGATCAATGCGGCATGGGTAAATTGTGGAGCATGATTCACATAACTATCGTTCAACGGTTGACTCACACTTGAACTAGTCGCACTGTCATTTGGCATTGGACCGATTGCCGCCACCGTACTTTGGTCCATCGCAATTTCCTCTTCCCTCAAGAAAAAATGCCACACCAAAATTCCACCTTTGTCTTGTGGATTCACTTTTTCGCTTTTAGTTTCATTTTCACATCAGTTTCTATTTAATTTCATTTTGAGAGAAAATTATTAATTTATCTCCAATGTACAGTCAATAATAGTATCACTACCCGTCAATTTATCGTACACTATTCACAAGTTAAACTTCAACACTGACGCATTTATTGGCAGTTCAGCAACAAATTTGTTTTCGTCCAAGCGCTTTTATGACTTGGTAATCATCGAACGAGATTCAATTAAATTGCGCGGAAATTTTTCATGTTTTTCAACAGCGTGGGATTTTTCCACTTCAAACATTTTCCCAGATGCACACACATAGTGAGAAAGAGAGAGAGAGTTCACGCATTCCTAAATGGACGCATTGGCGCCAACGCACAATAAATTTGTGGCTTAGTTTATGCGAATTGATAACGATGCCTTCTGAGTAGCACGTGTTTTCTTCTTGTTCTTCTTCTTCTTATGAAAACTTTCGTCTTGTGCTTGTTATATCGAATGCAAATGAGTGCGTTTCAATTGGTTTTGGTGCTTGACAACGTGTGTTTTTCCACTATTCCTTCCCCGATTTATCGACTAATAATTCGAATTATACCCGATTTATTCATTCACAATGATCATTTGTTATTAATGTGAGATGTTTTTATTCAATTTTGAACATTTATTACACCATTTATTTAAAATCACTGTTGAATTCATGCTTACCATGCGATTCAGTTTTGCGTTCTTCTTTTTTGCTATCAAGTCGCGAATTAGTTTATATATTTTCAATAGGATGATTGCATTCATTAAAGTAATTGTTTTTTTTTTTTGTATACGAAAAGAAAATGTCGGTCTTCTTATGAAAAAAAAAATTGTGTTAATTGTGGAAGAGAAAACGCGATTACATCGATGCTCGTTGCCCGCATGTTCGGGGCAAACTGTTTATCAAATGCGAAAAAAAGTTAAAACCTGGCCACAAAATATATATATAAAAAAAAAAAAGAATTGTTGCAATGTGCACTCGAGTAGAACGCGAACGTATAAAAAAAAACACTCAACAAACATCGATAGGCACATCTATTTGGGTAACAGTCAACACAAAAACATTATAATTGAATTGGCGATGAAAATCATGCGGCATATTTTCAATATGGTGCGCTTTTTCTGTTGTTCCTTCTCTTTTTTTTTTAATTTCCTAGTATTTGCTCGTTGCTGGTGTATTAATTCTCGATTCGAAACAAGACAGATAATTTGCGGGCAAATTGTACGAAAAAAAAACAACCAATTGAATTTTGTGGATTTTGCAAACGTGAAATCGTGCACACCGTGTGTTAAATCGTTTATGCATTACTACCGTTTGTTTTTTTCTATTTCATTTCTAATATGTTTATTTCGTTAACCAGTAATTATCCGATCAGCGATGCATTGTGTTTGGCCGATGATTCTGTTTTGCCGGGAGCAAAACACACAATTACACACCGATAAGCAACACACTTACACTCGATATATGTATTTGAATTTGAGAAATGCACGAAAATTCCTACTCTCCAATTAATATTCTTTATTAAAATTCTTTTTTCCGCAATTATTAAATAATCTCACTGGCAAATCGCTGCCTTCTTCGTTTTATTTCAATGCGATCCGAACTACAAGTAGATTTGGTTGCGGTTCTCTGTTGTTTGTTCATTTATTTTTTCAACTCTCCCTGAGTGTCTTTTCGAACAATTGAAATATTTATATCCGCTATTTAACTGATTTCCACTGGATTCGAAGCTAATCAGCGAAAACCGAAGCACTCATTCGTATAATTTTCTTTTCGATCAAAGAGAAGAGTTAAACGAGCAGTTACTTTTCGGTCGTCGGTCGTATTGTCGACTGATACTCATTGAATGCTTGAATGGTGCGAGAAGCGGAATCATTTCGGACTACCAATGAACGAGACAAAATTAACGCTTTGTGTCGCGAACGCGCGCACACTAACATTTAATGCGAAACATGCTTTCTTTAATAGCCCGGCGATATGTAGTGTATGTATGTGTGTACAACAGGCAAAAAGGAATAACAAAAATTTCACACTGTACCTGATGTGCCTGGATGTATCAGCTTTTAATTCATCCAGCGTTTTGTTGTGAATTATACGTTTGAATTTTACATCAAGATTCTTGTGAATTGAAAAACTTCTAAAAAAAAGAATTAAATGAAGAGAGAAAAAAACCGTCCAACATATCAGTTGACATTTCATAAACATTTCTCGAACATGTTGATTTCATTTTTGATGGCTTGATGTCAACGGGTTCGTTTGTGTGTTTCGGTGTGTTGAAAATAAAATGCCTGGCTTTATTCAGAGCCTTGGCGATCGTGATTTAAACGGGGCGTCAAGTCATAAGTTCATGATTACAAAACAAAATAAAGTATAAGAAAATGATCTACAAGCACAATTTTTATTTTTATATGTCACGTTGGCCCTGCGGTTCAGGCGCCTCACCTCATTCCTAACCAGTGAATTGTACACGAAGAAAAAACTCAAAAGAAATTCTCAAAAAGAAATAAAAAATTAGAAGAAAAGTCGAAAGCGAAGATAAAAACAAAAAAAAAATTGTTCTGCTCATGTTCTGACTCAAATGTGCATTTTTGCGATGGAAAACACACGAAATGGCTAAAACAACGGTGAATGTCAACACTCTCGGCGTTGCAGAGTATAATTTGTGTACAATTTAATTGGCGATTATTAAACCTAATTTATAGTTTGTTGTTTATTTGTCGTCATCGTCGTTGCTATGAATCTGATATCATATGCACTGGACTTAGCTTGCTGATTATTTGCTATTAAACGTGCCTGACGACGCTTCTTCTTGAAAAAAAATGAACCGAAGCCAAATGATTCATGCTAGATCAATTGTGGCGCATTTCATTCATGGAAGTTTCTATTGAATTTGTTCACAGCTTCTATTGAAATTTGACGCATAATTTTTTCAGTCAAAAGCTGAACGATGCAATTGACGCTTGAAACAATTCAAGTGCGGCACAAGTAAGGTTATATGTCGCTCGATCTTTTCAATGCAAATGAATTCAATCCATGACATTTCGCTTTTAATCGTCTATATAATTGACACACAATGTATGCAATCATAGAAAAAAAGCCAAATCCCTTGAGAGAGAAAAATGTCGGCAATAACATTAACCGACATGCCATATTGTTTTGGTATCGATAGCATAAACAAATGTTTTTCGCCGTTTGAAAAAAGACACATTCGCTCACTCAAATCATTTTTTGCCATGTTAAATCTCATGAAAAGTATAATCATTCCACCAAAAATTCTGGCAACAGTTTTCGTAAATTGTTTTAGCAGCTTTCACACGATCTCAATTGATTCGACGAAACATTTCATTTTTGCTGGACGCCCCGAAATGCTCAACATTTCACGGTTATCAGCGCATAATTGCGATTGCGATAGCATCAAAAATAAAGCACATTCGCTCCTTTGCCCTCCTTTTTTATGGATTCCACTCTCTCTCTCTCTCTTTCTCTCAATTATGTTGAATGCACACGCACACTTTGCATATCCATAGCATATCACTAGCGACTAGTACAGCCTATATAACAACTCAACACAAACTGGCTTGCCTGAGCGAGTTCGGTGTTTTGTTGCCAAGATGAATCTTTCTTTCATAAATTATGTTTGTCTCCAAGAGAGCTACACAGAAATCATTGTTTGCCTGTAACTTGGTGACTTTTCATTTCGCTTACAATATTTTTATTTTTAGGCATTGGACCAAAAGGTCACTGCACTCTAACCAAAAAACGACGCTTCGGCTTTATCTCCGCGGGACACACATTGACTTAATTGTCTCAACAATTACGAAACACATTGGGATTTGACCACAGCCATACACATTCAAAACGGACATGAATTCTATTCATTGAAAATAATGGAATGGAATAAATCGATTTAAATTGAATTGCCTCAGTGGTCAGCCTGGCCAGTTCAAAATCCGTTTGATCGAATTTTATTTCTATGTCGTTTTATTTGTATGCTTTTCGGCCGAGATCAATTTTACTCAAGTGCTGAAGCGTGCAAATTTTGCCTATTCGTTTTTTTTTGGATTTTATTGCTAATAATTTGTTGATATAGCGAATATGATATCGTGACTTCATCAGATTGTCGACGATGAGCATCGACACATTAATTATATAACAATGACGTGTTCGATGAACAACGCTGTGATTTCGAATCGTGGAAATATTTGTTCAACTATTCTGAGGTCGGTAAATTACCAGCCGAAAATTACCAGCATTTTTTTTATTACCGAAAAAGAGGCAGATATTTCTATTTTTCAGCACTACATGAAATGTAGAGCTATTGAATAGATTTTTTAAGCTTCAGACACGATATCTCGGGAACGCTTCGGCCGATTTCCTTCAAATGTTGGGTGTAGGTATCTTTTGCCATCCCTGCATACATAAGATAGTTGCGGTAAGTCATGGAAAACCACAATAAACTTTGTTTGTTGAAAACAAGCTGAAAAACAATGCAAAATAACCATATCTATCGAAATAAAGTAGAGTTCCCACTTAATTCGGTAGATGTCACAAGTTTTTCTCCTCTCAATGCTTACTGAGTACAATAATCACAGGGAATTTATTTTTACACCAAAATGCAGAAATTCATTTTTTCTTATTATCTAAAAAAGTATTAATACATGGCAACAATTCTACTCCATTTTAGCTGGGCTAGCCGGTGTGATTGGTGTCATCGACATCGGCGATGACTCGTTTGAAGAGAACGTAATTGGTATTCAATTAAAAGCTCAATGGTAAACGGCAGTCAGTGGAATACAAAGCAGTGGAATCGATGTCCAATGAGAATAAATCGAAGTAAACATAATGCAGCGTAATGCGAACCAATTGACTGCAGCATGCACTTTTGAACATGTTTAATTGAACTAGTGGTCTTTGTTCTCACAATTACGTTGCATGAATTGAATGTAAACATTGACGCGTTGTATGGGTTGTGATGAAATTGAGATTGAAACTCACTTATCGCCTCAGTCGGTTTGGAATCATGTGCAGAATACCAATTAGTCTACATGGCAATTAGCAAATGGGATCATGGCCGCGCTGCAGGAGCGAGGAGTTAAGATTAGTCGGTTTTTGGAAAATCCATACTCTTTATCAACAAAAATAAAATAGACATTTTTATTATTATTGTTCCAGTTGAATTTTTATTAACTAAAAAAATTCACTATCCTAAATGGATTCATTTGTTAGACTTTCGAAATTGATGGTTTATTCATTGATTTATCAATCAGTAAGGATTTTTGAGAACTACAACAACACAAGTGAATCATTATCGATTTACTCAATTCACTGGACAATTTGCTGGCGTTGAATCATGATAAAGAATCATTTCAATTTGAATCTAATCTAAGCCGACGGAGACAATATCGACTCAATCTGCTGTGAATCCGTATTTATGGAATTTTGATAAACTGGTGCTTAATCCAATTTCGTCGGAATCCATATGTACGTATATACAATTATACATACTAGTAAGGCAAGTGAGACAAAAGAACGAAACTTGTGTCTGTGGTGAGCGAAGCGATCACTTTCGCACTGATTTAAATGCAGTTATCTTCTCTAATGAACATAATTTGTCTTTCAATTCAGTTTCAAGAAACTATTTTTCGTCATTCGGATTTCCATTTTGTATTTTCATGTTTTTTTTTTCTTTTCGCTCAATAAATCAAAGACAGCCAAAGAATTTTGTAGTGTAGACGTGAACTTAATTTTCGCTTTTTATTCAACTACTATGTATAAATTTGGTCATTGTGCATAATTTGTCTGGCGATTATATTAAATTAGATTTCCATTGAAAATTTATTTCAGTGGAAGCGATATACCATCTAGAGAGATGTACAATTATGAATAGAATGTTAGTACGCTGGTCTGGTTTCCTCGCACGAATAACAGCGGCGGCAATCCTCGACTCAAACTCTCCAACCAAGCCATGTAGAGGGGCGCTGACACGACATTTTTTCGAGGCATCGGTAAAGTCATTACCTGTGAGAATTATAGAATTAAAAATAAATCGAAGAATTGTGATTTTAATTTGGTATAAATTTAATGTGTCTATCTTGAACCATGAAGAAATTGCACAATACATTTTAAATGTAAGTCTTCTTACATTATAGTCAATGCCATCTTTAGACCAACTCACATTGAATCATTGAATTTTTCGGCAACTTGTTTCAATCGTGTGCTGGCTGAGTAGAATATAATCAACTTTACAGCGACACTAACAGCTTCACTGTGAGCTATAACTACACAATAGCCAATATACATTGATGTTTGGCAATGGTTATTCGATGAATTGGTCAAAATACTATGATTATCACACTCTCGGTTTATTATGTGTCTGCAGACATCTGCAGAGAAGCTTCCAGTGTCGCCGTAAAGTTGATTATATCAGTCAAGCTACATACGGCTGAAAAAAGTTGTTCGAAATATTCAATGATACACTGAGTTGGTTTAGAGATGTCATTGGTTGCCTTCTTGTTATTCTGGCAATATATTCATGTCTTGAACAAAGTTTGCAATTACAATCAAGTCGGAGTTCATCGAATTTTTCAATAGATTCTCACGCAAACGTAAATATCGATTGGTTTTGTCCTTAACGGCCAATAACTCGCTGTCTTCAATGAAAATGGCTGTATGAATGCAGAAAAGATGGAAGGAACGGAAGAAAAAAAAATTGAACAATTCGTTTTGAAATGTAAACATTTTGAAAGTAGTTCCAGGCATTAATTTACATTCATTTGGATTGTCACAGAGCTCCTTCTCTTTGCTTGTGAAATTCCGAATTAGATCCTTGAAATAGTAATAAGTGGAGTCTTCGGCTTTTTTCGTGATGTCGGTCAATAGCTCGAGGTCAGAGTAATCGATGCGGAATTTCGCCAATAAACTAGCCATCGATGACATTTCCACTTCAATTTCATCCTTTTTATTGGCCAATGCAAAGACACGCAATCGTGCCGATTCCCAATTGCGTCGCCTACTGATAATATATGGCAGGAGCAATGTTAATCCACCTTGAAAAATTTGGTTTATACATAAAAAAAAAATGTAAAATATAATCTACAACAAGCCAATCGAGTCAGTCATACCGTCATCATAGAGCCAATACACGTCGATTATTGCCTTGTTACGTTTGCACGTAAATTGCGTCAACTCTTGAATTACATACTTTGGAAGTTCATCACCATTTGGTGCTGTGTACAATGACGATCGCTTTTCTGTTGCTCGCTTGCTGGTCTTACGTAAATAGGTTTGTAGGCTTGATTGAGTCTGGGAAATTTAAAGTAAAAAAAATACCATATGGGCTATGGTTAGTCAACAGCGAATAAAAATAATGAATTTTGAACGAAATGAAAAAAATGCAATTTGAACGGATGACAAGTGGAAGAAAATTCAAATTTTTTCAGTTTTCATTCGTCGAAAATAAAATTACAAAAGTGGTTTTACCTCAGCATCTTGCTTATCATTCGGATCGCTTGGCATGTTGATCCGTGTATTGCCGGACGCTGGGCTGGTCATCACAGATAAGTCGCTTATGCTACTTGCTATTCGTAAAAGGAGGAGAAAAAAATGATGCAAAACCAAAGAAAGAAATTAGTATATCCGCCTACATTCAAAAGCAAAACACACAAAGAAAATCCCATGGGAGCGACATGCAGAAACTTGCAAAAAGCACCCGTGTACTTCGTAGTGGAAAAAAAAGTGAAGCTTGCTTGTCACCAATATTGATGTTCACGGACATCAAATTGTTTATGCGTTATTTCGCCCACTTTATGCACTGAAACTATTAAATTCCTTAATTGGTATCAAATTTCACATATGAATTCATCATCACATCAGGAAAACACAACTTTTTTTCACATGAAAATCTAATGCAAGATGATTTTTCCGTTGATGGTTGTTCGATCCTGGATCACTGTAATTCATTGATGATTTGCAACGCATCTATTTTTTTTTTGTCGATAGTCCAACTAAATACGATGACAAAATATTTTTTTTACAGCTGAATGCAATTTGTGTGAAGTCAACTGTCATTTCAGTGAAGTGGAACAATTTCATAACTTACATTGTGTTTACACTATTTAGTTAAAAATCGAGTTTTTATTTTGAATTAATCACGCCGGAGATGATTATTTTCTTTCTATTCATAATCTCTTAAAATTGATTGTTTTTGAATTGAAAAAGAATACTTATTACGGCCATTCTCCGAGAGTTTCGTGCATTTGTGTGACACTTGAATTTGAAACATTTGTGCAATGAGATCTTATTTAAAATAAAATCTCTACTGTGATTTTTTGGTATAAATTGTGAAATGAAATGTTCGAAAATTAGCTTTGAATGTAGTGTGATTTGTTATAGGCGACAAACAATCCAGGATTGAATGCAACTGGTTGTTTCTCAATTTATTTAGACATTAATGTTTGTGCTATCGTTTATGTTGTTCATCATCAAAGCACGCACAATTGCCATCTCAAGAAAATAATGAAAAAATATTTTGTCATCGTATTTAGTTGGACTATCGACAAAAAAAATAGATGCGTTGCAAACACCCGCTAATTGTCACACTTTGAACAATTGTAGAGCGCCATCCATAATTGACGGCAAAATCAGCTGTAAATAGCCGTAAGTGATTTCGACATTTTGGGAAATGTTGCGAAATCATATCAATTAGTACTGAATTTTACCGTCATTTATGAACGGCGCTCTACAACTTCACGCTTCGTATTTTGTATGTATTCAATACAAGATTATATGCGTGTGGTTGCAAATCGTCAATGAATTACAGTGATCCAGGATCGAACAACCATCAACGAAAAAATCATCTTGCATTAGATTTTTATGTGAAAAAAATTTGTGTTTTCCTGATGTAATGATGAATTTAATGTGATAAAAAGAATTACATTGGTAATCCCGAACTTTTCCGTACCGTTGGCCTGCGTTGTCCGTAGGTACTTTTGGTTATTTTTTGTGAATTTTCTTGAAATAAAGGCAGTGAAAATATAATAATAAAAATAAAGTGAAAAACAGGGAGTGTAACTCCGAGGAGGAATGGTGAGGAGGTGAATGAGGAGGAGGAGAACGCTGAGGAGGTTCCTCCTCCTCGCATGAGGAGGATATGAAAATTACCAAAATTGAGGCATATAAATTTATTTTAAACACTTCTATTGATTTGGAACGAATGCCAACGATGAAAAGCTACGATCAAAATCAATAGAAGTGTTT